ACTGAGGGCCCCCTGGCTGGCGTCAGCCTCAGTGTGGGGAGGCGCGCTTTCTCCTGGGTCTTCAGGTTGGGGCCCATTTCTGATGCTCTAGGCCGAGACACCTTGGGTGGCGGGGTGGGGATGGGGGTGGGGTAGGGGTGGCGCGTGAGCGGGATAGGATGGTAGACAGTGCCCTGGCTGACGGGTAGGGGCGGCTTCCTGGCCCGCCTGAGGTGACCACAGACAACTCTCTGCTGCTGGTGTGTGTGCGTGTGTGTGTGTAGGGGTGGACCCGTGGCACCCTGAGTGGCTATTAGAAAGTTCCAGGTGCCTCTGGTGTCCACCCCCATGACCCGTTGCATTCTTAGTCCTATGCATTAGTTGGGCAGGGGGTTTCATTGTGACATTTCCATAGCTGCTTGCAATGTACGTTGGTTAGATTCATCCCTCCTACATTCTTAAAGCAATTTCAACACCTTTCCTTGTTCTATTTCCATACAGATATGTGAAGTCCATATTGGCCCTCTCCGCTCACCCCCCCATCAGCACCCACCAGCAAACAGGACACCTGTTTCACATTCCCGTCCTTCGTTGTTAAGTGTATATTATTTGTTCATAGGGGTTTCCCTGTGGTAGTTCACACATGCATAGGCGGTACTTTAATCACATTAGCCCCCCCATTACTGTCTCTTTCCCATTCCCCCAGCCCCTATTATTTAACTGCTTTCAGTCTGTGTTGTTATGCCATCTCCACACAGAGATGCGACCTCTTTCGGTACTATTCACTCTCTAGCATTGTCTTTTCCTCTCCCGCCTCCCCCTACTCTCCTAAAACGCTCCCACCGTTACAAACATGTTCTCTTTCTCCATATGCACACATTTATCTTTTAGTTCTAGTCACCACATATGAGAGGGAACATGTGACCTGTGTCCTTCTGAGCCTGCCTTACTCTGCTTAACATGATCTCCAGTTCCATCCATTTACTTGCAAACCACATGATTCCATTCTTCCTGATGGCTGAATATTCCATTATGTAAACATAGCACATTTTCTTCTTCTTTCTTTTTTCTTTTGGCTGTTCTTTACATTTTCATTTGCATGTGTTAGTTGGACAGGGGGATTTCATTGTGATAGTTCCACATATGCTTAAAATATACCTTGGTTAGATTCCTCCCTTCCACTCTTCTCCCACACCCCAGTCTCCCTTTAAAGCAATTACAACAGGTCCCACTCTTCTATTTTCATACAAGTATATAGGGTCCATTGACCGTATTCGCCCTCCTTCCACCTCTCCCCTCACCCTCTCCCTCCCACTAGCTTCCCCTCCCCGAAAAGGACTCTTAGTGCACTCCTCTTCGTCATGTTGCTCAAAGGGGTTTCTCCGTGGTGTTTCACCCAGGAATATGTTTTCTTAATCTATTCATCAGTTGTAGGGCACATGGGCTGTTTCCATCTCTTGGCTGGTGTGAAGAGGGCAGCAATAAACATGGGTGTGCAAGTGTCTCATTGAATCCTGGCTTACCTTCCGCCAGATACATAGCCAGGAGTGGGATCTCTGGATCGTATGGTAGCTCTCTTTTGAGTTTTCAGGACTTCCATACTGTTTTCCATAATGGGTGTATGCCTGTGCGTTCCCACCAGCAGTTTATAAGGGTTCCTCCCCCCTCCCCACATCTTCACCAGCATTTGTCATTGTTTGTGTTCTTGACGATAGCCTTATAACATTGGGGTATGCTCCTTCTGTTCCTAGTTTCTTCAGAGCTTTTCCCATGAAAAGATGTTGAATTTTGTTAAAGACTTTTTCTGCATCAATTGAGATGATGGTGTCCCTGACTTTGTCCCTGATCCTGTTTATGGGAATACAACAGTATTACCTTTATTGATTTGTGAATGTTGAACCACTGTGCATTCCCAGAATGAAACCTACTTGATCATGCTGTATGATCGTTTTAATGTGTTGTGGGATTTAGTTTGCAAGTATTTCATTGAGGACTTTTTGTGTTCGTGTTCATCAAGGAAATTAGCCTATCACTTTCTTTTTTGACATGGCTCTACCTGGTTTTGGTATTAGGGTAATAATGACTTCGTAGAATGAGTTCGATAGCATTCCTCCCCGTTGTATGTTTTGGAATAGTTTGAGGAGCACTGTTAGTTCTTCTTTAAAGTCTGGTAGAATTCAGCAGTGAAATCATCTGGGCCAGGGCTTTTCTTTGTTGGGAGAGTTTCATTGTCCCCGTTTCAAACTCATTGCTTCTTACATATCTATTTATGTTGTTTGTGCCCTCTGCGTTCAATTTCGGAGGGTCACGTCTGTCGAGATATTTATCAGTTTCTTGTTGATTTCCCAATTTGCTGGAGTATAGGTTTTCAAAATATTCCCCTATGATCTTCTGAATTTCATTGGTGACTGTTGTAATAGTCCCTTTTTCTTCTCTGACTTTATTAATTTGCGTCTTCTCCTGTCTTCCTTTGGTTTGTTTGTCTCAAGGTTTCTCGATCTTATTTATCTTTTCAAAGGGACAGTCTTTTGTTCCATCAAATTGTTGTAGTGTTCCTTGGTCTCCTTTTCAGAAAATCCTGCCCGGATTTTCGTAATTTCTTTCCAGGTACTACTTTTGGGGAATGGCTTGTTGTTGTTTTTCTAAGTTTCAGGTGCAACCTCAGAAGGTCTATTTGAGATCTATCTGGTTTTCAGATGTGGGCACTCATGGACATGAACTTTCTTCTTGACACTGTCTTTGCTGTGTCCCACAAGTTCTGCTAAGTTGTGTTTTTGTTTCACTTGAATCTAGGAATTTCTCAATTTCTTTGGTGACCCATTGATCAACATCGTGTTGTTCAATGTCCATGAGTGTGAATGGTTTTTGTAGTTTTCCTGGCTATTGATTTTTAATTTTATTCCATTATGGCCTGTTAGGACACAGGGGATTATCTCGACTTTTTTGTATTTGTTGCGATTCGCTTTATGGCCTGAGATGTGATCTATTTTTGAGAAAGTCCCATGGGTTGCCGAGAAAAATGCTGCTATAGGATGGAATATTCTATAGATGTCTACTAAGTCCATTTCATCAGTGGTATTTTTTAGTTCCAGGCTGTCTTGGTCAATTTGGTGTCTGGATGTTCTGTCTGTTGGTGAGACTGGGGTGTTGCGATCTCCCACTACTATTGTATCTGGACCTATCTGTTCCTTTGTGCTCGGAAGTGTTTGTTTTATGAACTTGGGTGCACTGACGTTTGGTGCATATATATTTAGAATCGCTGTATCTTCTTGCTGGATTGTTCCTATCGTTCATGCGTACTGACCTTCTTCAGCTCTTGTGGCCGATTCTTGCTTAAAATCTACTTCGTTCGACATGACAATAGCTCTTCCTGCTGTCCCTCAAGTTCCATATGCCTGGTATAACTTCTTCCATCCTTTCACTTTTACTTTGTGTGTGTCTTTGGTTGTGAGATGTGTTTCTTATAAGGAACAGATTATTGGCTCTTGCTTTTTGACCCAATCAGACAATCAGTGTCCTTTGACTGGAGTGTTGGGGACGTTTACATTTAGGGTTAGGATTGAGAGGCATTAACTGATATCCTGCATTTCTACTGTTCTTTTGTCTTCCGTGCTGAATCGGGAAAACTTGGTGGGCAGGCAAGCGGGAGGGAGGGGACGGCCCTGGACGTCAGCAGGGGTAAGGGCTGGGAGACAGAGTCGCTGGCTGAGTGGGAGTGGGATCCCTGCAGAAAGAAGGGGAGGCCATGTGGCTGCCTGGGCTGCCGTGGTGACCACAGACTCTCAGCTGCTACAGCTTGAAGTGGTGTGGGGGGAGGTGAGCTGGTGGGCCTTGGCCCTCTGCCCTTGCGTTCCAGTGTCCCTGTGGGTGTCTGTGTGGGTGGCAGTGGTGGGAGCGGACAGGACCGTGGCCTCTCAAGGACATACAGATTAATTACGGGGCATGTTGCACATTTACTTAGATATACCACACTGCAGAACGTCTTCAGAAGCCTTTCGCTGTGGTGAGCGCCTGGAGTCCCAGCTACTCAGGAGGCTGAGGCAGGAAGACAGCTGGAGCCCAGGAGTTCCAGGTCAGCCTGGGCAATATTGGGAGATTCCGTCTTAAGTTTCTTTGTCATGAATATAAAAGGATTGCACTTTTACTTCAGTTCTCTGAACGCAGGGATAATCTGTTTGCATCAATAAGGGATCAACAAGGATAACAGGTCTAAATATTTGCAATCCCGTAAGTCAAAGAAGAAACCATAAAGGAGCCTAGAAAATCTTTCGGACACAATAATGAAATATTACAACTTAAATAAAATTAGGGGGAGGCGACGAAAGCAGAAAGGGACCAATCGGGAAAAGGTACGGCTTTAAATGCTCCTATTAGGAAAGAAGAAGGAGTAACAGGATCAATGACCTAAGCGTGCACCTAAAGAAGCTAGAAAAACAGGAACAAAAGTAAATCCAAAAAGAGGCAAAGGAAGAAACTATACGCATAAGAGGTAATCGGTGACAGAAGACCACAAGACAGCTAACACACAGATGTTGGTTCTTTTTCAAAGAGTAACAATATTGATCAACTCTAACAGCACTGATCAAGACAAAAGAGAACAAGCACTGATCTCCACTTTCAGGAAGCAAGGGGGGAGTAATTATGAAGGTCATAGACACATGAAGAAATAATGAAGAAATATTAAGTACAAATTTATACAAAAATTTTGAGAACTTAGAAACTTGGGAATTCCTTGGGGGCGGGGCCAAAAGCAACTTACTAAACTGCCACTAGGTAAAGTAGAATGTAGGACTAGTACTGTATCTAATTTGTTATTTAAACCCGTCCTTAAAACCAAACAAAGTAGGGAGGTGGGGGAGCTTCTGGCCCCCGCAGTGTAGAGGACAACGGTGGGGGACACGACTGGGCTGTCTGGTACCAACATCCCTTTTCCCTCTTTGCACCCACAGGGCACCACAGAGACTGCGACAGTCAGCTCACAACCTTGTCCGATCATGCCCCCTTCCCCCAAGTGCACCGCCATGGCGCGGGCTATGCTGCAGGACTGGTGCAGGTGGATGGGCGCCAATGAGCAGCGCTCACTGCTCATCCTGGGCATCCCTGAAGACTGCCCGGAAGATGCATTCCAGGAGGCGGTGCAGGCTGCCCTGTGGCCCGTGGGCAGGTACCGAGTGCTGGGCAAGATGTTCAGAAAGGAACTCGGGGCCAGAGTCGCTTTGGTGGAGTTTGCTGAATATTTAAACCGAAGCTTGATCCCCCGACAGATACCAGGCCATGGGGGTCCGTGGACTGTGATCTTCCTGCCCCAGGCCCCCGATGCTGAGTTACAGGACAGCCCCGATTTCCCTGCTCAGCCCCAGGGCCAAGCAGTGGCAGGGGCTGTGGGTGAGACAGGGGCTACAGGTGAGGGAGGAGGCACGGGTCAGGATGCCACAGGTGAGAATGGAATACCATACGTACCAGGAGGTTCGGTTGAGGAACTATCAGCAGGTGTGGAAGGAGCTGCAGGAGGTGCAGGTGGGGCAGGGGAGGCAGGAGAATCAGGTGAGAAAGGGCTTGCTGGTGAGGCAGGAGATGCAGAGCAGGCAGGTGATGCAGGGGAGGAAGGAGCTACACGTGAGGCAGGTGAGGCAGGAGCTGCAGGTGAAGCAGGAGCTGCAGGTGAGAAAGGACCTGCAAGTGAAACAGGAGCTGCAGGTGATGCTGGGTTGACAGGGGATGCAAGTGTGAAAGGACCACCTACGGGAAAGGCAGGAGCTACAGGTGAGAAAGAACTTTCAGGGGAGGAAGGCGCTGCAGGGGAGGCAGAAGAATCTGGTGAGAAAGGTCCTGCAGGTGAGGCAGGAGCTCCAGGGGAGGCAGGTGATGCAGGGGAGGAAGGCGCTACAGGTGAGGCAGGTGTTTCAGGGCAGGCAGGTGATGCAGAGGAGGAAGGACCTACACGTGAGGCAGGTGAGTGCAGAGCTGTAGTTGAGGCTGGAGCTGCAGGTGAGGCAGGGGAATCAGGTGAGAAAGGACCTGCAAGTGAAACAGGAGTTGCAGGTGAAGCAGGAGATGCAGGGGAGACGTGGGATGAAGGTGAGCAAGGACTTGCAGGCAAGGAAGGAGCAGTAGTCCAGGCAGGAGCTACAGGTGAGGAAGGAACTGCAGGTGAGGCAGGTGATACAGGGGGGGAAGGAGTTACAGGTGAAGCAGATGAGAAAGAACCTGTGTGTGAATCCGGAGCTGCAGGTGAGGCCGGGGATTCAGGTGAGAAAGGACCTGCAAGTGAGGCAGGAGCGCCAGAGGAGGCAGGTGATACCTGGGAGGTAGGAGATTCAGGTGAAGCAGCTGAGAAAGGATCTGCAGATGAGGCAGGAGCTGCAGGTGGGGCAGGACATTCAGGTGAGAAAGGACTTGCAATTGAAACAGGAGCTGCTGGTGAGGCAGGAGATGCAGGGGAGACAGGGGATGCAAATAAGAAAGGTCCTGCAGGCAAGGAAGGAGCAGTAGGCAAGGCGGGAGAGTGTATTGAGAAAGGAGTTTCAGGTGAGGAAGGAACTGCAGGTGAGCCAGGAGTTGCACGAGAGAAAGTAAGTGCAGGTAAGGTAGAAGACACAGGCAAAGAGGCCATAGATCAGAAAGCAATAGCACTTGTGGCAGGGGGTACAATTCAGTTAGGAAATTCAGCTGATGAACGAGCTTCTGGAGCTGCAAGTGACAAAAGACTTGGAAGTGAAGAAGAAGCTACAGGAGAAAACGAATCTGCAGATGAAGAAGGAGCTGTAGGTGAAGCAGAAGCTGCAGGTGAGGCAGGGGCTGCAGTTCAAGATATACTTTCCAATGAAGAAGAAGGTCCAGATGAGAAAGGACCTGCAGGCAAAGAAGGAGCAGCAGGTGAGGCAGGAGTTGCAGGTGAGGAAGGAACTGAAGGTGAGGCAGAAGGTACGGGTGAGGAAGGAGCTGAGAAAAAGGAAGATATTGGAGTTGAGGCAATAGACACAAGCAAGGAAGTCTTAGGTGAGAAAGGATTACCAAGTGTGGCAGGAGTTTCATTTCAGGAAGGTGCTTCATATGAGGAAGGAACATCTGGAGAGGAAGGAGCTGAAAGAGAGTTAGGGACTGTGGGTGAGGCAGGACCAACAGGTGCTGCAGATGAAAGAACTGCAGATAAGCAAGGAGAGGCAGGAGAGGCAGGAGCTGAAGCTGTGGAAGAAGTCACAGGCAAAGTAGGAGACACAGGTGACAGAGATTTAGGTGATAAAGAAATACCACTTGTGGCAGAAGTTTCAGTTCAGGAAGGAGCTTCTTGTCAGGCAGATGCTGTAGGTGATACAGTAGCTACAGGGGATGGAGGGTCTGTAGATGAAGAAGAAACTTCTGCTGAGGCAGAAGGTGAAAATGAGGCAGGAACTGCAGGTGAGACAGAAGCTGCAGGTGAGGCCAGAGTGTCAGATGAGGAGGGAGCTGCAGGTGACATGGGATTTGCGGGTGTTATAGGAGCTGTGGGTGTGGCAGGAGCTGCAGGGGAGGCAGGGACTGCAGGGGAGGAAGGCGCCTTTGAGGCAGCAGGAGGGACACTTGGGGCAGGAGGATGGAGCCGGCAGTGGAGCCAGGCCCTGCAGCCTGTACTGGAAACCATGGCCTACCAGGAACTGAGAACCTTTTCAGGGACGCAAGAGCCAGGCCGTGAGGCAGAGTCCTTCGAGAGCTGGCTGGACCATGCCAATGACATGCTGTACCTGTGGCGCCACATATCAGAGAGGGAGAGGAGGAGGAGGCTGGTGGAGAGCTTGAGCGGCCCCGCCCTGGATCTCATGTGCGGGCTCCTGGAAGAACATCCGGACACCCCTGCACAGGACTGCCTGGCCACGCTCGTGCAGGCGTTTGGGAACAAGGACACCAAGGTGTCCGCGAGGCTGAAGTTCCTGACTTGCTCCCAGCGGCCTCGGGAGACTCTCTTTGCCTACGTGATGCGCCTGGAAGGCCTGCTGCAGATGGCCAGGGAGAAGGGAGCGATCCACCGAGCTATCGCAGACCAGCTGCGAGCCCGGCAGGTGCTGATGCGGGCCCGGCCGAACCAGATACTCCAGAACAACCTGAGGAGGATGCAGCTGGAGAGGAGGCTGCCTGGCTTCGTGGGGCTGCTGCGGCTTGTCCGGGAGACTGAGGTATGGGAGGCGGCCCTGGCTAGGAATGAGCAGTCCCGAAGAGAGGAAGGAGCCCAAGCGCACATTGGTGGCTGGCTGCCGCCCAGGCAGCTGATGCTGAACCTGCCTCTGCCATTGATGAGACCTCCCAGGCCTCCCCTGCCAATGAAGATGCCGGTGAGCCTGCTCCTGACCCTGAGCACCCCGCTGAGGCTACCCCTGCTGCTGATGCTGCCACAAAGGCAGGCGCTGGCACTGGCACGGAAGAGGCCAAGGTCTCCCCTGCCACCCAGGAAGGAGACAATGCTTCTGCCTCTGCAGGCCTAAGCCAGGCAGGTTCCACAGAGGCTCCTGGAGGCCCCACCGCAGCCCAGATGGGCAGGGCTTCTGAGGAAGGCCCAGGGGTGCCTGGCTGGGGGCTGGAGAGCCTCACCAGGGCAGGAGAGCAGGAGGCCACTGAGGAGCCCACACTGGAGGAGCTCCAGGCCATCCTGGAGGAGTCGGGAAACGAGGATGGGGCAGGGGAGAGGAGTCACTCCGAGTCCTTTCTAGGCAAATAGTCTCAGAATGCCTCTCCTCCCAGGCAACAGAGCCCTGGAAGACGAAGGAGGCGGGGCCGGGGCTACCGCTCCAAAACAAACCCCTGTGTCCCCAGGGCCACCATCATCCCCAGCCCCTCTAAGTGTCCAGAATGACCACTATTTCCATCAAATGGGGCAGAGACAAGTGTCTTGCCCCATGGCACATCAACCCCAGTCTCAGCTCCAGACCTTGCCGAGTCAGGCAGCCTACCTGGAAACGCCCCTAGGGGGCCAGCCCTGGCCTAGATGAGGGCTCCCGAAGACATCTGCCTCTCACACAAGACTGGGAGACAAGTCAGAGGGAAAGAGGCCACCTGAAGGGTGCCAGCTGCTTGGCTCTCCCAGCAGGGAGACCCCACCCCATCCCATCCTGCATTCCTGGGCAGGCTGCTCCCTGTCCTGGGAAGCCCACCCTTATCTGTAAGCCCTTTAAGTGACCTGGCTGTCAAGCAAGTAGCCACCCCCACACTAGCCAACCTTCCTGTGCAAAGTGTGTGTGTCAACCCTGGTGGCAGTCCTGGCCCACCCGGTCAGACACCTCCACACCCGGGCACGTGCTGTGAGCTTCCGTGCCACCCAAGGCTCTGCTCACTCCTGTCCAGTGTTGTGAGCTCAACCTCTGCTTTCTCAGTGTAGATCAAGGCCAGCTGCCTTTGGACTGTTCTAGTAGACATGTGTGAGTTCTTTTCTGAGCAGTCCCTCCCCAGAAACCTTGAGACCATTCTGTCCCAGGTGCCCAAAGAAAGGGTAGATGGCAAGCGAGTGGCTGATGCTCACTCCGAGACCATGACTTCGGCCTCAGCTAGAAAGAACTGGAGCAGAGATGGGGAGGGGAGGCTGTGTTTTGATGTTCCACTCCTGTTGTTACCTGTGACTCAGTTTCTTCAGCTTGGTGGGGTGTTCCCTGCTGTTCTTTCCAGTGTCCTGTGACTGTCCTGTGCATCCATAGGGCAGGACCAACTCACAGCGGTTTGTCCCTGGGAAGGGCTCTTCCCTAAAGTGACTGGGCATTGCTGGAGGCCACGGTCCTGGCAAGAGGCAGATCTGGGGTCCTCAGGAAAGGAGAACGTGGCAGGAAGGCCCCGGGGTGGGGGACAAATGAGGAACCTCGTCAGGAGCCCGGGACTGGTCTCAGGTGGTCGCGGGTAGTTCCTGTCTGTGATGTCATCCCCTTCTCTTCCATGGTTTCAGCAAATGTTTGATGCAATAAATTTCATGGATGTTCCCCCTGAGTCCCTCCTCTGCTGGGATGGGAGGGGCGATGATGGCCGGGTTAACATTGGGGAATGGGCAGGGAAGGGACCCTCAGTGGGGGGCTGTGGGATGCTCTGGGTGGGCGGGAGCCAGGTGACAGGATGCTGGTGGGTTTGGGGAGCAGTGGCCGCCTGGCTTCCCAGGGCACAAACGAAGCCCCCAGGAAGAAGTGGGTTAGGCGTAGAAGGGAGCCAGTGTGTGACACAGCAGACACCACCCCAGGATCCTGGCAGCAGGGGACAGGGGCCTCAAGGCATCCAGACGGATGACCAACGTGTGCAAGACCAGGCAGGCAAAGCAGGTTAGGGCAGAGGTCCAGAAGGGCCCGGGCATGAGGTTAGATGGCTCTGCCGGCAGGTGCTTGCAGGAATCAAGAGGGCAGAGGGTGGAGTTCACTCACCCACCCACCCACCGGGTTCAGCTGACCCTGACAGTCACCCACAGGTGGCCAGCCCCATCCGACACACCACAGGATGTTTGAGGATGGCGGGTGTGACAGTGGGCAGAATGTTGCCCTTGAGACAGTGTGTGGGTCACACAGTGTCTCATTGCCCTGGTCACTTTCCAAGAGCTCCTCCACGCTTGGGGCCAGGACAGGAGGGAAAGGGCAGGCAAGGGGCTAATCCAGTCAGCCCATGGGAGCCTTGGGCAGAGTGGGCCTGCGCACGCTGTGATCCCTGAGCTGGTGTGTCACTGAGTGTGACTGATGCTGTGTGCATTCAGTTTTGAGACCTGGAAGGATCAAACAAGGGAGGTGGGAAAAGGTTCCTGGAGGCACAAGTCACAACCCCAGCAACACTGAGCAGTGAGACTCTGGAAAGCCCCAGCTGCTGGGTGTCCAGCAGGGCCATCTCTGCCCCCTTCATCCCTGTCCAGCCCTGGGATGTTCCAGTGTGAGCTCCACATTGTGTTTGGATGCATGCTGCTCTCAGGTGTCTTTGGGCAGATATTATCTGGAGACAGGAAGACCCACCCAGGTGCATTTCTGGGCCTCTGGTGTGTTGAGCCCCCTCCTCAGGTCATCTCCTGTCTTCTTGGTTCATAGAGGACTCGG